GAGAGGAGCCTTTTATCGTTGTATCCCCAGTGCCTAGAACAGTGCCTGACACAATGACTTGAGGAATGAGAGTCCATGTTTAGCTGTCAAATAACCCTCCCCACCCCGTTCAACCTCCAGTCTAGAGCCAGACTCTGCTCTGATGCAGGAAGCCCCAGAGGTGGCTGCCCAGGGATTTCTGCCACACACTTGTTGTGTTGTCCTGACCAGGTTCCCAGAAGAACCTGGCTGAACTCCACACTTTTCCCATCAATGGCTAAGATCACAAGGCTGCCAAGACATGGGCACACGACTCAGCATGGCACCCTCCCAAGGCACAACACCTGCCCAGTTTGATCGGAACTGACCCTGCTGGGGACATCAGACCAATCCAGGGCACTGGCCACAACAGCAGTACATACCACACAGCCTGTCCCCATCCATCATTTCATGGGAACTGTCCCCTCATAGGGTGAAGTGCTCAGAGAGCAAGGGACTTCTCTGAGGTCTCTAGGTAGTGAAGGAAGGGGTGGTTTGGACAGAGACTCTGCTGCTAAATTCTGTCATCTTGGCCCCACTCCCATTCTGCAGGTCCAGGAGACCCTCATAGGCGCCATTCATTGTTAAAGAGGGGCAGACCAGGCTGACATCTAGGTACTGTGACCTCCCTGGAGCCAGAACCTGAGGAAGAGTACACAGGGAGAGGCAGGGGGTAAATATGCAGCAGCAAGAGAGCATCTTACAACTTATCTCAATATGGGCAAGTCCTGGCAGCTCAGGGCAGGAGAAGGGACAGCCAGTAACTGCAGCCCCAGGAGGCAGCAGTGAGCACTCTGACCCTGGAAGTAAAAGGGACCTCAGGTCCTACAGGCTATAGAATCCCACTGTCAGTGTTGTTGAGAAGTTGTCATCCCCATACCCTAACCCACATGCTCCTTTAGTAGGAAGCCAGAGTTCTGGCCCACCTGCCAGGAAGAGCTAGCAGCTGGCCCTGCAGCTGAAGGAAGACCTGGTATAGGGTCCAAGCCTTTTCCCTCCTAGGAAACTTCTAGGGTATACCTCTTGCTTACCCCAACCCTCATGTAAAGAAAGAAGCACATCCCAGCACAGCAGAGATAATAAGAGATGAATTTATGAATAACAGTATGAGACAGAGAGGGAAGGAGCAAGGGCCTATGGTGATGAGCTTCCCATAAACAGACCAACAGATACACAAAAGTGGTCCAGACAGACAAAGAGACAGAGTCGGAGAAACAAAACCCAAAAGGTAAGAGGCCCAGGCCCAGTCTCAGCAGTTTTGTCTAGGCAACAGATCCAGCTCTGCCCTGGGAGTCTAGTGAGTGAGTGGGATTGGAAGGGGCCTGAGTCCTTGTAGGGCTCTCTCTGCTTACTCCCCACTGCCCCTCCTGCTGGCTGGGAACTTGGGCAGGTAATATTTCCAAGGCTGGGAAATGGTTGGTCTGGATGGACAGAAAATCAAGGCTCTTAGAGGCTCCTTGGAGAGGTGGAGGCCTGTGTAGTGTGGGGTTAGCAGCAGCAATGAGGGAAATCTGGTCAGGCACCAGGGCCTGAGGTGGAGCCACTGCGCAGCAGGGCCATGTCCAGGGCAGGCCCCCCACCCACCCTGCCACCACACCAACATGGTGCAATAAATAAAGTGTTCAGAAGTCAGTGTCAAGCAGGAGAGCTAGAAGCTGGCAGACTGACAGGGGCTTAGGAAGAGAAGTCCCCAGTTGTCTACCATGACATCTCAGGAATTCTAGCTGTATCAAGTTTGTATCAAGCACTGTGGTGGGCACCTGGCCCTGATGTCCACATGGGCACTCCCTGAAGGGGCTCAGCCCCTCAGACCAGCGCCAGAGCTTGCTCCGTGGGGCAGAAGCAGGGCAGCATGGTGCCTACAGCATCCACGATGGCTTCCAGATGCTCATCCTGGGCCTGAGGTCCACAGAGCTGCATGAAGTCTGCAAGACGCAGCAAGTACTCAAGATTGTGACCAGAGAAGCCTCGGCAGGCCAGGATCTGTGTAGCAATGGCCTCTTCTGGAGCAGGGCCCAAGTAGCCAGGGTTCTGTGGGGTGGCCACATAAGCCAATGCCTTGAGTGGTTGATCAGGTGTATCTTGAGGATAGAAAGTGACTTCCTTGGTGTCATAGCCACCAAGCACTGCCTCTCGCACATTCAGGTACTTCAGGGCCTCGCTCACCTGCTCACCTTGGACCTGGTATGCCACACCCCAAGTGCAGCCCTAGGAGGAAATAAAGATATTTCTGGTCAGTCACAGCAACTGTTTGCTGGTCCCTCCCTCATTACAGAATGCTATTCCCCCACCCCCACTGACCTAAGGACTGTACTTTTTTTTTTTTCTTTTTGTGGTAGTACTAGGGAGCCCAGGGCTGCTTTACCACCAAGCTATAATTCCACTCTAAATATCTGTTTGCTTGCTTATTTATTTTTCTTAAAATGTTTAGTTGTAGATTTATTTATTTATTTATTTTATGTGATGCTCAGGTTCAAACCCTGTGCCTCATACTTGCTAGGCAAGCACTCTACCATGGAGCTACAACTCCAGCTCTTGTTTATTTATTTTTTGAGACAGGGTCCCACTAAGTTGCCCAGGCTTACTTCAAACTTGGGATCCTCCTGCCTCAATCTCCCCAATTCCCTGGGATAACAGGTGTGCACCACCAGGCCTGGCTTATGCCTCCTTTCTTAAAAGGTGGTCTAATCCCAGGGAGGACAGGATTTCTATTCATAGTGTGGTTCAGAAACATGTAATGGCATCACCTATAAGCTTGTTAGAAATGGTGCACCTCAGACCTCATTCCAATCCTACTGAATTAAATTCTGCAGATCCTAGGTAACTCTGAGAAACACTGAGCCAAAACATACTTCCACTCTGCCAGACAAGCAACAACTATAGCTTACAGTCATGGGCCCAAAAAGCTCTGTGTGTGGCACCCTTCCACATTGGGTGCTGGGTCCCCCTTTTGCTGGCAATACTTACCTCACGATCTTCAAGGAGGGTCACCACACGACCAGGCTAGGGAGGGAAGGAAAATTTTGAAAGACAAGTTAGAAATCAGTTCTGCCATCAGTGCAGAGAAAGCCTTATCATTCTGTTGGCTAGGCCTCAGAGAGTCCTATTCATATAGGTGGATGAGCAGGGAGTGATGTAGGGATACAGGAGAAATAGTAAGGCAGAGAGATGGCAATGGTCCAGATTGGTAATCAACCCAGGGATCCACAGGTTTACCGACTCCAGGCATCAATCACACAGTGATCACTTGGGCACACAAATTTAAGCCACAAAGCCAGACAGTTTTACACATTGGCCCAGAGAGCCCAGGCTATTCCAGGGCACCGGCGCCCACTATGCTACCCACCGCCCTCACCCCCCTGGGCACCGTCAGATTCTCACCATCTTGTCGCTGCCCCGATGGAAGGTGTCTCCCTGCCAGAAACGGCGGCTGTAGCCTCGCACGAAGCCCACACGGCTGTCACTGTAAGCGAAGTCGGGCCTCCACACTAGAGAGCCATACCCGAAAATCCAAAGTGCTGGAGGGTCGCCATCCTCCTGGGGGGACTGCACGGATGCGTTCGGAGACGGCGAGGGGGGCGGGGTGCTCTGGGCTGCGGGCTCTTGCTTCATGGTGCCGGGCACAGGGACGGGCCCGGGCGGCCTCCGGGGCTGGTCTCCGGCGCGGGCACGGAAGGACCGACGGACGCGCACACCTGGCCTGGCACCGGTCGGTCGCTCCAGCTGAGTGGGCCCCCACGGAGGTGCCCTTTAAACCCTCCGGCGGAGGGACCCCCCCGCCCGCCGCGGCCAGCTGCCGCGGTGATTGGGGCGGAGCAAACCCTCTTCGGGCCAATCATCTTCGGATTTTGCTTCTCGGTTAACCGCGCTACTCTTCAAGTGGGTGGCTGAGTGGCCTGCCCCGGGCCCAGTGCGCTCGCTGATTGGTTCGGCTCCACCTCGTGGCAAACCTGGCAGAAGTGATGCAACGGCAGGGAAGGTTTCCCCAGCGCCCGCATGCAGCAAGGGCGCCTCCGATTGCGTCAGGCGGCGGGCAGTGGGCATGGGCCCGGCGTGGCCACGGGCAGTGGGCCTCTCCTTGGCAACTCCTCCTGGCTCGGGCCATGCAGGAGCCATAGCGGGTGGGTTTAAGGCGATGTCTCCTCAGCAGTCCTGCGGGTGATGGGGCCGAGTCACTGCCACCCCAAGACTGTCCTGGGGCCGGAGCAGGACATAGCCAGAAGGAGCACTCTGGGCGTTGTAAACTCCTGAGAGCACGCACGGTCGACAGCGAGGAAGCTGTAGGAAGCACCGTCCGCATTCCACTCCGGTGCCTCACGCCGTTGGCTCGCGTGAGCAAATGGAGAAACTGAGTCACGGGGGCGCGAAGGGGTTCTACAGAGGCTGCGGTTGAGTCAAATCAGGCAGTCAAGGTTTTGCAGACCTCACGTGAGTCCACGTCCCCGGCGGGTGTGGAACCTCCTGAGCCCAGGCAGGTTTGAGGAAGATCCAGCCAAAGCCATTGGGACAGCAGTCACTTTGGCTTCCCCGGGGCATCTGTGGTGAAAGGCCTTAAAGTGAACACCTGACCAGCTTTGCCCTGAGGCCATGGGTTTAGCTTTTCCCAGGCTTGAGAATTTGTGGTAATGGGTAATCCTTAGGCGCTGAGGTTCTCCGAGTGTGATGCACTGCGAGTGTGATGCACTACGAGCAGCTACAGGCCATTTCCTTTGGCTACTGACCACCCAGTGGAGAGTCCCACAGGCCATCTGGGATCAAATCCTTAAGCAGTAGAAAGGGGCTGCCAGATGGGGATGTTTTGATTAGAAAAGAGAAACAGAGGCCGCAGAAGGCCTTCCCAGGGTGGAACTGATTCCCAGAGATTGTTGTTGAGGTTTGGGTGAGCCCTCTGGCAGGGGAAGTGGACAATATTAGTTCAGTTCATAATTATTCAAATTAAACATTATCTGCACACTAAGTGATTGTATTCATTCCAAAGGTGAGTGTGTAGCAGGAAGCTATACCTTTAAAAATAAATTATTGGGGGGCTGGAGTTGTGGCTCAGTGGTAGAACACTTGCCTGGCATGTGTGAGGTTTGATTCTCAGCACCACATATAAATAAATAAAGTTCTATTAACAACTAAAAAATTAAAAATAAGTTATTAGGCTGGGTGTCTTAGCACAGGCCTGTAATCCCAGCAACTGGGGACAATGAGGCAGGAGGATTGCAAGTTCCAGGCCAGCATCAGCAACTTAGTGAAGCCCTGAGCAACATAGCCAAACCCTGTCTCAAATTAAAAAAAAAAAAAAAAAAAAAGGGAAAGAAAAAAGAAAGGGGACTGGGGAGATGGCTCATTGGTTACTTAACCCCTGAGTTCAATTCCTGGTACCAAAAAAAAAAAAAAATAGTTGTTGGTCTGATGAAGGCTGAGGTGTAGCTCAGTAGTAAAGCACTTGCCAAGTATGCAGCAGGTCCTAGGTTCAATCCCCAGCACCAGGAAAACAAACAAAAAAACTCACAAGATTTTCAGTAGTATTTGTGTAAAAATCTGAAGATAAGGCTGGGGGAATGTTTAGCTCAGGGATATAGTACTTACATAGCAAACTCAAGGTCATGGGTTCAAAAAAAAAAAAGAAAGAAAGAAAAAATACTGAAGACGGTACCTAAATTGTAACCTGGGTTTCCTTGTTTGGCTGCTTGGTTGGTTTTTTTTTTTTTGGTACTAGGGATGGATTTAACTCAGAGGAGCTTAACCAATGAGCCACATCCCAGCTCTCAAAGGAGGATTTTGTATAGTAAATTCTTTTTTTTTTTTTTTAAAGAGAGAGAGAGAATTTTTTTTTAATATTTTTTTTTTTTTTTTTTTTAGTTTTCAGCGAACACAACATCTTTGTTTGTATGTGGTGCTGAGGATCGAACCCAGGCGAGCGCGCTACTGCTTGAGCCACATCCCCAGCCCCTGTAGTAAATTCTAATTTATGAAAAAGTCTGGGTTCTTTACAATGAACATGAGGAAAATAATTCAAACAAAATGGTCTTTTCTGGTCACTCCTTTCTCTTTTCTTTGCCTGTTTCCCGGGTTCACTCTGTCCTTTTTTCTCCCTATCTGTTCCTGTTAGTCCACCTGAGCACCTCCTTTGCTTAGAAAAAAATATCCTCTTCTCTTCTCACCATCTTTGTAAGTGAATGGAAAATGGGAAGCTGATAACAGCACATTGCTACAAGTATCTGAACAGGCCCAAACAACCTTCTGAGAAAGCAGCTTAGTGATACAATCAAGAACCATAAAATGTCCCTGCCCTCTGACCCAATACTTCCATTCCAGGAAATTATTCAAAATATGGGAAAAGCCATATGCCTGAAGATTTTCAATGCATTGTTATTTATTATAGCAAAAACAAAAGAAAAACTACTTAAATGTCCAAAAATAGCCAAATGTTTAAGTAAATTATGGTCAATTCACGTGATGGAGAAGAACACACACACACAAGTGCCAGAGCATGTGCAGGCAGGCACAGGGACAACGTAAACATACAGTGATAGATGTTTACATAAACTTGAGATTAGTTCATTAAATTGGTGAAGCCACTAGAAATAATTGTATATGTCTATACTGATTGACATAGAAATATATCTATGATGTATAATTAAGTGAAAAGACAGGGTATAAAATAACCTGCTAAAACTTTTTAAACTTAAAAGTCTGGAGATAGGCGTGGGTGTGGAGTAACGTCCTTGTAATCCCTGTGACTCCAGAGGTTGAGGCAGGAGGATCGAAAGTCTGAGGACAGCCTGG